GTTGAATCCCCAGTACCACACAGACAAAAAAAAATTATGTGATGGGAGATGAGAACAAGGTGCAGACAGGGCATTGAGAGCCAAATAAGAGTTTTGCATAATGACATTTAGAACCGTACAGGTGATCTTATCTGACATTATTCAATCTCTTGTAGGAGAATATTGAAATCCAGATGTCCAGAGACTTGCCAGGGGTAAGTATTCACAGTTGGCACTTACTCCCTGACTTGTGGGGCATCTCTACCCACCCCCATGAATTCTGGGGAATTCTAATTCTTCTGAGGAAGTTTTAATCTCAGTTTTATGGATTAGGGATGGGATGGATGGGATGTAGAAAGACATAACAGACTCCCATACCATCACAGATAATTTCAGGGCTGTTGGAGATGCCAGATTTTCATCCTTCCAGGGCTCAGCATCCCTCATAGGGCTGACAGTTGGAGATGGACACCACAGTGGAGGAGCGTTTGCACACAGAGCCTGGACTAGGACCATGGCATCATCTAAGAGCTGTGGCCCAAGCAAGAGCCAGTAGGGGGCCAGCTGTCTGTGGAGCCTGCTTTCTCCTTCCGAGGTGCTCTAGCCCCTCCCCAGGAAGCCCTGGGTGTGCAGTGAGCATAGCTTCCTTTACTAATCACTCAGGAGTGATGATGGGACAGTGCTGGGAGGCATTTCTGCTTTCCCTTCACTGAGCTGGGAGAAGCAGCTGGTCACTAAATGAATGTCCTAGAAATCTGCTGCCTGCCCCCTCTGCAACTGGGGATGGCACCCACATGAAGAAGGAGAGCTCTCCTGTGTAGTCCCACCTTGGCCTCAGGGGCTGGTGGGAAGGGGAGTCAAAGCTTCATGCTTCTTCACCCCTTAAGCATCCTCTTCCTCATTACCTCTTCTCAGCAGTTCTATCATGGAATTTTCTGGTTCCTTAGGAATTAATTGTCTTTCCTAGTTTCCTTGCTCTAAGTCTGTCTTGCATTCCGCCCTTTCTTTCCCCTTGCCACCACCACTTTCTCTGCCTTTCTAGCCACCCTGAAAAACCAAACCAAGTTAAGGAGTTAGGGGGCTTCTGCTCTGTTCATAATCTCAGCCTCATCTTTAAGAATTCCCAGAGCCCTGAGAGACCATAGACCAGGACTAGAGTCCACTTGCTGATCCTAGTAAGTGGCTCAATGTTCCTGAGTTGGCAGGCTGCACTGTCATCTCTGAGGTTGTCCATGGTTCCAACATGCAGGGCCACTGAGCTTTCTGAGGCAGGCAGAGCTCCTCACCTGATACCTTGTGACAACTTTCTGCTCTGCCTAGGAAGAAGACCAGCTCTGTGTGAGCCACGTTCAGTAAGAAGGTGGTTCTGGCGGCTTCAGGCAGAAGGAGTCATCAGGGGGAGATCTGAGAAAGGAAGGTGAAGGGTGTGTGTGTGTGTGTGTGTGTGTGTGTGTGTGTGTTGGAATGATGGGTGAGAGAACAGTGAGAACAGAGATGATGGATAATATCTGCCTAGAGACACCCAAGAACACCCAGCAGTAGGTGGGGCGAGGCAGGAATGCGTGTGGAGAGCAGGAAGATCACCCCGAGAAAGGCCTGGCCCTTCTGCTCTGCTCACCTGCCTCTGCTCTGGCCTCCCAGGAAGGGGCTCTAGTCCTGGGATTGAAGTGAGAGTCTGGGAGTTGCTGAATACCTGGAGACTCATTTGGTGGAACTCTCGGCCTCTGTCTGCTCTGCTGGATGAGCTTCTTCTCAAGACACACCTGACACCTACAGGTGATTTGGTACATTCCTTTACTGTCACTCATTCAAATAAAATGAATGCTTAAATAAACTTTGAGTGTGCAAGACACAAGGCCCGGGATGGGAGAAGAAGAAGAAAGTAAAGATTTTTCCCTCCTGCTACTAGTTCTGGGTCCAACATGTAATTGCAAATTGTATTAAACACAACAAAATGAAGAAGGAGAGCCCTCCTGTGTAGTCCCACCTAAATGAATAGACTGGTTGCCATGATGGAGCATATGGTGGGGATAAGGGGTGCTCAGCTTGGGTAAAGCATATGGCAGGGTCTCCGTAGAGGTGACATTTACACTGCGATGTGCCCCAGTGTTTTTATTGTGAGCTCCTTGAGGGCAGGGATGATGTCTTATTCATTTTTATATCTCCAGTGATGACAAGAATGCCTGGCACTTATTTTTTAAAAATTGGCATAATTTTTATAATACTCAATGAATGTTTGATGCATGAAGAAATGATCTCCTCTCTGCAATTGCTTTAAAGTGTGCTGCTTTTAATCACAGGAAGACAGGGATGGCAAACAAATTTGATATTCTTATGGCCAGCCTGTCTTTATTCCCTCCTTTCTTGTCTGCCCCTCATTGATTTTTGTTCATATCGCCATTGGATGCCTCGGATGTGTCGAGTCCAAACAGGAAAGAAAACACACACACACACACACACACACACTCCCCGCATTACCAACCACATCCATCCCTGTGAATGTTGCAGATTCTCTCTGCGAAGCTATTAAGCACTTCCAAATAGAGCAAACCTCTCATTGACTATCACATGCCTCCTTAAATGATCTTCGAATTGCATTTTCTTTTTTATTGCTTTGTGTAGTTTAACAGCACCAATTGCGATTACTCTAACTTATGATAAATCCCAGATCTATAAAGCTCCTGTTCATTCATTATTTTCCTTTTGCTCCTTTTCAAGCTGTTATTTTTTTTGGAATATAGTGAGGAGGGGGGAGTGGAGTGAGAAGAAAATAAAAAGATACAATATTAACAGGGAAACAAGTGAAATAGGGGACCACTTGTCCCTGGGTGACAGACGCCCTATTAAGATACTGTTAGACAAAACAAATATGCTTTCGTACAGCACAAGCAGGTCTTTTGTATTTCTTCTGAATTGGAAGTTTAATGATCACCACCTTATCTTTAATAGAAGAAGCAGCTAATTGTTCCAGTATCTTACTAATTCCAGCAACTGGAAGAAAAATAATTATTTTTTACTATTTTGCCAATTGTTCAATTTATACCAAGGTATGTTGTGTGGCATGAACAGAGATTTCTGTTTCTTGATTAATGTCATGACTGCTATCCCAGATCAATTATTAATATGTGTGAATTATAATTATTTTTGGGTATTAGTATGAGATAATTATAAACCATAAAACAGCTCCCCATGCTTGTGGATGCCTTTTCTTATCTGAAGATGTGTTGGAGGTTGGGCACGTGAGCTTTAGAGAGAAACATGTATAATGTAGCACTGGGGGTAGCAAGGATGTCTGGAGTAGAGGAAGTCCTCCCTCTTCCTCACCTCCATGTTTTCCACCTCTCCAGAGACCAAGCTGACCCACCTACTGCGCCTCTCCTGATCCACTCACACCCTCCTTTCACCCTGTCTCCGTTTTATTGGTTGAGACTTGTAACTCATCACATATGTTGGCTCAGCTTGCTCACCACCCCTCATCTCCATGGTCACCTAGAAGCTGGGGTCAGAACCCTGGAGCTTGGAGTTTCAAATCCAACCCAGCTCCTGACTTTTTGGCTTCCCTAATCCCTAGGAACCTTGGTGCTGCTTTTCTAGTGAGCACGACCAGCAAGAGAACATGTCTGTTCAGCACCACGGACAGGGGCACACTATCTATTCCTGCAAATGAGAAATCACAGCCTAGCACTCTTGTCAAGGTGGCAGTGTTGGGAGGGGTCCGTTAAGAAAGAAACGAAGAGAGAAAGAAAGTCAGTGAAAGAGATTGATGGGCAGGACATAGAATATTTAGACCCCATACTAACAGTGCTCAGCCATGGGACTCCCCTAACTGAGAAGCGGCTTCCAGAGCCTTCTTATATAGAGAGGGTGGCAAATGGGGGAGGTGAACGCTTCCTGGGCTTAACTGTGCTGACCTAATTCCTATCAGACTGTCACCATGATGGGTGCTTGTGGCAGAACCATAGCTGGTAAGTGCTCAGGTCTGGAGCACATGGGGTCGTTGGTGTTATAAATGGTGGGCTGGAAGCAGAGTCAGCTGAAAGTCACAGGAAGAGGGCACTAGAACTCTGCTGTGGTTGGCCTCTGGGGGACATAGGGGATGGAGGTGATCTTCCTCCTCCTTTCCTGGAGTGGGGATGAGGCTATAGATGCTCTGAGCCTTGGGAGGAAGGGGCCCAGCTCGTGGCAAGTGGGGTTGATGGGAAGCCAAGGCTTCATTTGTCTGACTTTAATGAATAAATGGCATCCCTGGCCATTGTTTATCTACTTTTGAATCCTGACAAACAGTCTGTGGCATCTGATGAAGAGGGTTATTAGCTGCACGAAGACAGATGGCTGGGGATAGAGAGGATTGGTTCTTTATTACAGCAGGCCCATAAGTGACAGCACTTCTCTTCCATCCAAGCCTCTGCATCAATGTTAATACTTTCTCCAAGTCTTCTGTGACTCAGGCAAGCCTCAGAGGAAAGACCGGGTACAAGAGGAAAGCAGAATGGCTTGTGAGTAGGAGGGAGAGGCAGGTCAATGGAGTTGGAAAAGGACAGATTTCCAAGTGCAAGCTCTTTGAGAATAAAACACTCACATAGCACTTACTATAGTCCAGGCACTGCCTTATTCTTTAGGATTCTCCTAAGTGCTCTGCAAGATGCTATTTATTCAATAGGCATTCAAGAAATGTGAATGATTGAAGAGAAGGACAGAGATGTTTAGATTAGAAAGATGAGAAAAGCAGATTTAAATGGCCGGGTAGGTGGGTGAGGGACAAAGCTAGGGAAGAGACAGGAAGAGAAGTAGAGGATTCAAAGGGAAGAGGGTTGATAGCAAAAAGAAAAGGCTATATGGGTCAGCATCCTGTGTCTCCGGCATTAGCTGCTCTTCCCCATGTTACTATGCAGACAGGTTCCTGATAATCCAGTGGAGCCACCCACTCTCTGAGATGTGTCAGGTTCCTCTGTATCATAGCCATCGGGCATAGTTCCTTCCCTCCATATCATCCCTGAGACGGTAGAGAGGTTCTCACTGACCTTCATTCATTCTCCGAAACTTGTCCTTGGCCATATAGCCCAGCACCAGACAGCATCCTCTCTTCTGGAGGCCCAGCTCTGGAAGAAAAGCATAGGTGGGTGAGTTGAGAATAAGTCTGATATCAGGGGAAGCCCCTCTGTAAGAGGCTGTGAAGTTTGTTGCTCTTATAAACAGGGTTTCTTATTTATTTAACAAACATTTATATAGCACTTACTATATTCCAGGCATAATTTCAAGTCAGTAGTTCTTATTCGTGTCTCACAACATCATGCAAGATCATTTCCCATTTGATATCATCCCCATTTATGAATATATTAAATAAGTAACCTTAGATGAATGAGCTAGCAGATGGCAGAGACAGAATTTTGAACCTACACCGTGTGGCTCTGGAATCCATGATCATAACCATTACTCTGGGCTATTGAGGACCTTTATTACCCAAGCTTAGGGAAAGTGACAAGATCACCTTGGGATTGTGGTCAGACCTGCCAGAGGAGAGGCAGGACTAGTTTCTGGTATCTTAGGTGAGAGTACAATCAGACACAGTGGGTACCCCAGGGTGAAGGTGATTGGGTGAGTTCAAGGGAAGATGTAGGGGTTGAGGTATAGGCAGAAGGACTCTCTATTTTTTGGAATGGGTGAGTTTCTGGGACTTCCCTATGTTGAGACACCAATTTAGCACTGTTGTCCAGCATTTAAGAAGTTGTAGACTAAGAGTTCAGGGGTTGGAGAGCTAAGAGACACAAGAACCCACAGAGCTTTGACCCAACTGGAAAAACAAGATGGAACAATAATTCCAGGTAACAAATTCAAGAGACATTTATTTATCTGTTTCACAGTATTTTGTAAATCAGTGCCTATTGTGTGGAGCATTAGAGTAGAGTACATCTGCCTCATGAGATGAGACGGCAAGCTTTCCTCTCTGGTATTTATCCTTTGATCCTGATTTGTCTTAAGCAAATCAGGGTTCTTAAGCAATTCCATACCCAATTTCCCATTTAATGCTCATAACAGCCCCTGGAGGTAAGCAGATGGGCTAACGCTATTCATGTGACACAGATGGGAAAATTGAGTTTCAACAATGTTAAATGACTACCCTTGATTACTTTAGACTCCTCATCTCCACCTCTTTGTGTACATATCATACAAATGTGACAGCTGCCATAAACTGGGAAAATGGGGAGTGCGATTTCTAGAAGAGGGAAAGTGACTACTGTTTCCCCGAGTTCTTGCCAGGATTCCCAGGCACCTAGCTGCTTCCTCCCTTCTCAGAGGACAGTGAGTGGGGTGTCATGCAAATTCTCCAGGAGACTCTGCATGTGTCTGAGCTCCAGCCAGTCCGTGCCTCGGCTGTTAGGGACAGACAGAGTGGACTCATTCCTCCTCCTGACTCTCCATCCACTTTCTGCTGTTCAGGTCCCCCCTCCAAGGTAGCAAGATAAAAGGGAGTGTAGGGCCCATGAGAGACAGATAAGTCAAGCTTGGGGACTCCTGCCCTAGAGAAAAACAAAGCGTGGCAGGCGGTGGCAGAATGCCACAGCCCAGGGAGGTCGCCTGCTTTGATCTCCTGATTCTTTAAAGGGGTTTATTGACTATCAGTAAAGAGCAGAGAGGCAGATCTGAGGGTGCTGTTTCCAAAGGCACTCACTTCTCTTCCTTCCCCTGCACACTCGCTCGCTGATCTGAAGGCGCAGCCAAACCGCCCTCACTTCAAACAGCATCACATCTCAGGCACCCAAATTGACGATGTTAAGTTCTTCCATCCAAGGCCTTGGCCCTTTCTTCAGGGGCTCCTGCTCTGTCGAGGGCCGTGTGGATCAAAGCCCCTTTGATGTTTACTTACTCTATTTGTGGATTCTTTCTAACAACCACCTCCAAGAGGCAGGAATGCAGCATGCCAGGAGGGGGCCAGCGGAAATACAAGCTGTGAGGAGGCTCTGAGCTTCATCCAACAATAGCTTCTTGCTGGAGATGGTATTGAAACCTCAGCATGCTGAAGACAGGCATTAGAATTCTAGGCGTTGCCCATCATTGGAAGGATACAATTGCTGACGATTCCTATTATATTTGCCATTGACTTCTTATACCCATTTAAAGCAAATAGGAACCTTGGCAGTGGTTGCTAATGAGAAAGAGAGTCTGAGATCCTGGACTGAGCCCAGGGGAGTTCTGAGGAAGGAGGGCAGAAGGTGCTGGATGGACTTGGCCAGTGTTCCAATTGATCTTCTGAATAGTCTCCTGAACTCACAGGAAAGTGGAAGGGGGAATAATCCTCCTAAAAACTTAAAGTCTAAGCAACTTGTTGTATTTGATTATCTATGTTGGCTGTCTCTCTCAGTCCAACTCAACTTTTCCTTTGTCACATGCTAGAATGCCCCCCCCCCCCCGCCCGGGGTTATTGCCTAAGGAGATGTTTCATGTGCATAGTTATTATGAGCAAGAGTCTCCCTAACCATGTTTGATTTCTGTAAATGAGCAGGAAAAGAAGTTTTAAAAAAGCCCTGATTAATAAAAGAAATTGAGGACGAGGTAATTTCTCAATGTATTTGGCTCATTTAATTTGACACGTGTGGGTTAGTCTTAATTATTTAGGAGGCTACATTACATGGCACTAATAAGCACACTGCAGATATTTATTAAGTGAGAGGGCTCTCTGATAGAGTCTTTGCTGAGAAGTGGGAAAAAACCACTGGAATCTCTGCAAGAACAAGCAGGTTGGAGGATTCGTCAAGTGAGAATTAGCTAGTTTTCTGTACAGGAAAATTTGAGATGCTCCTTGGAGAGGAATGTAGAGCTAAATTAGAGGTCACTGAGTCCACATGTGAGGCATGATGCAGTGACAGAAGGCTTGGAGGGGAGGAGAATCTGTAAACAAAAGTTGGGGAATTGGGCCATTGTTAAAGACAGACTGCAGAGAGAAGTGGGAAGGAACAGGAAGTAACCACTTTGACTTGGGGGCAATTCCACAAAGTCAATATAACTAGGGTATTGACTTTTGTAAATGAACAGAACTGAATAGAGAGATGAAAGAATATGGCAGAAAGAACAGGAATCTCTCACTTTGTGAGGTAGATCAGCCACCAGATGGTCACCTTCCTTGCCATATGGCACTGAGATGGTTGAGTCAGATCACAGATGCCCATTTTGGAACAGCAAGATGATGGGGTCTTCTCCAAGAAGGCTCTGGGCTGACATCTTTGGCTCAATCAGTAGCAGAACCACCCAGATACACTGAAGGCATTCATGGAAAGTGATTTACATGAATGAAGTCCTAACTTAAAAGGGAAATTCATAGCAAAGAAGTTCAGGGTCATCTGCAAATAGGGTGTGGAGGGCAGTATTTGGGAGAACAAAGTTTAGGCAATATTGCCTATTCAAGGAAACAGTTATTAGGACAAGGTATGCTTTTTAGGGAGAAAGGAAGCTTGCACCCCTGGGAACTCTTGGCTTATAAATTGTGAGCAAAAGAAGGGTCAGGACTGTGCCTTTTTCAGCTCTCAGTCTCAGTATCCAGCTCAATGTTCCTTACATGGCAAATGTTTGGGGAAAATCTGCTGGCTTAAAGAAAGGGCTGACTAAAAATATCGAGGAGTGATCATTACTCCCCAGTCCAGGTCAGAATGAAAACAGGTGGGCTTAGATGTAGCACAATGCATTTAGGGAGGTGAGGATGGTTGTAGAGTGAATGAAACTTGTAATTCATTGGGACACAGAACAGTTCCGCAACCGGGGAACATTGTGGGATTTCCTCTTGGGAGGAATAAAAAGGGATGGCTTTATAAATGCAATGGGTTTCTTCAGTTTCAGAGGGTGTAGATAGGGCTTTTTCTAGCTATAGAATTCCTTTAATCTTAGTAATAATAATGATGCAGTGATACTACTTCACATTTGTGAGATACTTATTTTTTCACCATATTGTCACATTCACTGTCTCATTAGATGCTCTCAGCAGCTCTGTGAAGCAGGCTAGGCAGAAATTATTTCCTCCATTTTGGTTTTAGAAACCAAGACTCAGAGAAGTGAAATGACAATTCAAGGCCAAAGCTCTAGCTCATCCTACAATTCAGGGCTGATTTCTGGCTTAATTCTTAGAGAAAGATGTGGGATCCTAGGGCTGCAGTTGTTACAAATCAAGACAGACATCAGTGGTCTGGGAAAGGGCAGTATTAAAGGTCAAATTGGACCCTCACATTCATGTGTTAAAATCCTAATACCAATACTTCGGAATGGGATCTCATTTGTAGATAGGGACTTGACAGAGCACCCATTGGCAGCGCAGGGTGTCTCTGGAATTCCTGCTTCCTGTGTGAGGACCATGCTGGCCAGCACAGTGCTTGCTTATCACCGCATCCAGAGGCTAATGAGCTGTCAAGTAACTGTGGCTAAGACAGGTGCCAGCCCCCGCTCCTTCCCCATGTCTGAAGCTGACCAGTGCCTTGGGATGTCTGCTTGTAGGAAGACTTCCTATCCTGTCCCCCGACTGTCCACTCACAATAGTTCAGGTATTATGGTAATTTCACAGTTGTGGGCTATTTATTTATTTTTTTTTAGGAAGCCATCAAATTCACAATCTCATTCAGTTGCTGAAAACTGGTCTTTTCCACTTGGAGCTATTTGAGTTGAGCGTGTCTCTAGAGATCCACCAAACAAGAAATCGAATATTATGGGTGGGCAGTTTGGCGTGATTATGGCCGAGATTTGGGGAGGAAAGGAAAAGAGGTGAAAGAGACATAGGCAGAGACCAGATCCTGGAGCAGCTGAGAGCCTCCTTAGAAGTCTGAACTTTCTCCTACAGGGGGTGGGAAGCCAAGAGGAAGGCTGAGCAGGGGATGGAGAGGCTAGCCTTGCACTGAATAAAGATCACGTTAGCACGAGTGCAGATGATAAAGGAGAGCAGCCCAAGGAGGGAGCCAGCTGGGAGACTATTGCCATACTCCAGGTGAAAGATGATGGCTTTCCAGCTGCTCCCCCTTCCTGCTCTCTGAAGACAGAGATCAGAAAGCAAGTGAAAGGATGCTGAGTTTTCTCAGGGGGACACTCAGAGCCTCCAGATCCCCGCCACCTCAACACAGAGAGC